TCGTCGTCATCGTCGTCATTATTGTAGTCGTGTTTGACGTTTTCGTAATTCTTTTCTTCCATATTATTCAGTACGCTAACTTTAGCTTCTCTGTCTGACTAATTAAAAAAAACATAGAATATTAATAAAGACTTATTATCTGCCAATTTAGCTAATAATATTTAACTAATAATACTTTATGCACAAAATTTCCAAAGTTGGCAAATAAATAATAAATTTTAATAAGTTTACTCAATGTTGGTTTTCGCAACTTCGGATTACATTGAATACTGGCTATCCTCTGTGTTTATCCTGTACCTAATTACTACTACTCATATGTACGTCCAATTAATGGATGTCTTAAATGGGACTTACGATGACATCTATTTCATGTCCATGGACATATAGACATAAAATGGATACAAAATGGACGTGCTATTTGGGTGATAGTACAAGAAATATTTTTGTTATGTGTTATACGTACTTATATACTTTAAAAAGGCCGATTTTTGGATTTTGACATTTTCTTAAAGTACATACCTTTAAAAATATATCCTATAAATTTCAAATTGATTCAATAAAAGTTGACGAAGTTATTCAAATTTGAACATATACCAGTTTGAACGTTCGGAATAGGTATAGAATGGCAACTGCGTCGCGCACAAAAGGAAACCCTTTCTACGATCGTGTGAGTTAATTATTACCCGAAAATTATTCCAAGCTGTAGTAAGTCCTTAGAAATAGCTGCTTATATCGCTGTTAGTAAATTTAATGAAGATAATGCTGTATTTCTCAAAATGCTTTAAGCTATTGGAATAAGTAGTGGCCCGAATGTTCATAGATATGTCGAAAAAGAAGACGCTACATTCATCAAAATTTTGATCCTCTACTTTCGCATGCAACAGAGGATTCAAGAGGCAAGAGTACTTCGGCAACAAGTTCAAATTAAAGTTTTGGAGGCTGCAATTCATTTGGAGGGATTTTTACTATATGGAATACACGACTCCGTGTTAGTTAAAAAATTTACGTCTTATTTAGTTGTAAACTTAATTTGAAACTTTAAACGCGTTTTCTTTAAACCGCATTTTTAAAATGTGGTGACCAAAATATCTTGAGAACCGCTGCCGATCATAATGAAATTTGATAGGCTTCTTCAATACTAAAAATTCTAGTGTCCAATTGTGACATTTCTTTCCGTTGCGTATTTATTTTAATGATAAAGAACGAGCGATGTTTTTGGTTGGAAAATCATACTTCGACTTTGAACCGCCGCCATTTTGTCATAAATTAATTTTTCGAAAAAATGAACTGTCAGACATTAGATAATCTTATATATTAACTAAATTTATCGAGCTTTTTGATTTTAGATGAAGTAGCTGAAAGCTAGAAAGAGTGGTCGCCGCAAAACGCTTTTAATAAAAATTACTCCTGAGAGATTACCCATATCTCTTTATTTAGCGATACTTTACTATAAAAAATTACTGAGTTGTCCTTAAAATACTTGTGTTTAAATAATTATGTTTCTTTCAAAATATATCTTTAAGCTTTTTTAAAAAAAAATCTCATAGATACGTGTTTTTATGGCCTTGCAACTAAGGCCCAGTTCTAAAATCACGGTTAACTCTTAACCGAGGTTCAACTTATTCATTGTTTCTTTCCAATTCTAGAATTGGAAAGAGATGAGAAACTGAACCTTGGTTAAGAGTTAACTCTAAGTTGAGGAACTGAGCCTAAATATAATCTCGTAATATGCATTGGTACAGCCAAAGGAAGCGGCAGGGAGTCGTGCTCTGCCTAAATCTTAAAGAAAAGCAAAATAATTACAAAAAATTATATATTATGAAATTAAACTATGTTTATCTAGCATTCACGAGAAATTGATTTTGGAAAAAAAGAAAGAATAATTGGAGGTGAAAGTCATAAAAAGATTTTCTTCAGAATCGGCTAGTGTTATGAATAAGTTTTTCTTCAGTTTGAAGAATCAGTTTAAGAAATGACAATTTTAATACAATTTTAAGTGAAAAGTAAAGTAAATTAATAATTTAAATATGTGCGATTTCGTGCTAGTAATTAAAAATAATAAAGTGATTTACTTGCTAGTAATTAATTAAAAATAATAATATAAAACAAAACATGTCTAATATGTATTCCGTACCATTTGTCTAATTTCCGCCTTTCCCCGTTCATACAGTATAGAATTTGCAGCAATATCTCTTCAATATTGCTGCAATATGCAACATGTTGCTGTAATATTGCAGCAGTGTTGCTGCAACTTTTGTGTAACTTTGTGCTGTAGGGATGGGTTCAAAGGTTTCAATTCTAATTTGGCCTCCCTCCCTAAACAAAACCCTATCTGCACCCACGTTTATACAATTTTTATATTCTTTTAGAATATTTATAATACAATATAATTTCCTTTATATAATTTATTTTTATGTATATAACTTACCCAAAAATCACCAATTTCCTTGCCACCGCTGTTTTGGTTGTTGATGTCGTCGTAGTTGTTGTTATCATCGTTTCTTTCTATATTATTCCATCCTCTATTTTTATCTCTGCTAGACTAATTAAAAACACCATTCGGAAGATAAAATTAATAAGAACTCATTAATTAAAGAACTGATTAAATAATAATATTTAGCTAATAATATTTTATGCGTAAAATTATAAAAGTTGGTACATAAACAATAAATTTTAATAAGTAAACCTATTGTAATTTTCTAGCCTCATTTTAATAAAAATTTTTATTATTTTAATATTACGTTATAATTGCAAATGTTTTCTTTATATTATAAATATTATTTACAAGAATATTATTTCCGACGCTATGTTATGTATAAACAGGTATACAAATGGCTAAATAAAAGTATTGGATTGATCAAATATCTTCAAAGATATCTTAACCAAAAGGTGTTTTATTGTTATGTATTTATCGTTTTAAAAAAATTTTGATGTCAGAGCTACAAGAATATTGAATAAAAAGTAGAAGTTTGCATTTAAAATTTTAAAGTTAGTTTTGCAAGCTCGTCAGTGGCGCTCACGAGAATATTGCCATTTGATATATTTGTTGAAATCCTACAACTCTTGTATGAAACACTTTTTTTCAAATCCTTTATTTTGAAGACATTTTACCGGTCCAATACTTTTAATTTATCCTGTAGATATATATTATCCTAGATAACCTAATAAATATTCGTAAAAAGTTTATAAAAGTTCCTAAAATCCCAAAATAACATTCTAAGAGTATTTCGAAATATTTTCCAAAATATTTGCGGAATGTAAAAGCAACATTTAAATAACACTGTGGAACACTGATTTTGTCTTTAGCTTGCAAAGTATCATTTCCGAAGTATTTTTTGATGCTGAAAACGATGCTGTCCTCAAAATTTGCCTATCACATCACATTTCTAAGAAAATTGGAATAATATAGGCGAAAATTGACGATTTTGGTCACTTTTATAATGATATGTGGTTAAGGAAATTTTATTTTGCTAATTTTGTGTACACTATCTTAAAGTGCTATCTTTAAAATGAGATTTTTTTTATTTCTGTACGATTTTTTATGATCAAGTTACGTGGGCTTGAAGTTATCATCGTTTCTGAAGTTTACTCGAAGAAGCTTACTCGGGCTATGTTCCAAAACATCCTTTTCGAGGAAAATTTTACTCGAATTATATAGTACAGAAGTTATGATAGGAGCATATTGGAATATGTTGGAGCATGTGACGCGAATAAACCTCTTGTGTTTCGCGTCAAGTGAACGCGCAGCGCGACAGTGCGAGGCAACATATGCCTAACTTCAAATCCATATAATTTGGTCATAAAAAATTGTAGAGGAGAAGATGGTATTATGCATCCCACTTACATTTTGTGCAATAACTTGGTTAATAATCAATATTTAAACTTAAAACTCAACAATTACAATACATTTGTCAAAATATTGTTTAATCGAGTCTAGACTTAAAGTTATGAAACATTCATTACTTAGGACGCTATTTATAAAAATGTAGCGACACTACATAATGGCTCGAAGAAAAAGGGATGGTAATATAGCCTTCCATAAAAACAGATATAAAAAAATTGGTTTTGTTTAAAAAACAGTATTTGATTACAAAATTTATATAAAAAGTAAAATATTATAGAGTATATGTATTCGAATTATGCAAATATATGTATACACACATAACTCCTGCCGCACATAAGTTGCTCAGTATTAGAAATCTATATACACGTGATATAAACTATAGATTAACAGTAGAGCTACAATCGATTATCAAATAATTATTTTAATATGATTAACCTCAAAAAAGAGACCTTGAGTAATCAATACGGATAGAGGGCCACATTAGTAAAATGCCATGTTATTGTTTAAATTTGCATAACTCAAAATATATACAGTCAAATAAAATGTTAAATAGCAAACAGCACACTCAAATATATATACATTCGTGTGATAATACGTTCAAGTTACAAAAAAATGAGTAGTAGGTATAATTAAATGATAAAATGTGCCTTAGAAATGTTTCGAAATACTTGAAAGTAAAAATGTATTATAATAAGTGCTAGCTATTGAGTATTGGTATATAAGTGTCAGGGTGTAATGACGAACTACTGAAAATAATTGCATATAACGCTAATAACAGTTACTACATACATTTGACTATCTAATACTATTTTAATAATAAGGGAAAACTGATAATTAATATAAAAAAAATGCATTCCATCTGATTTAACTAGCCCCGGGATCGGGGTAAGATGATTGATGGGGTAATTTGACTAACATTATTAAAATAAAGATTGATGTATATTTTAAGGTACATCTTTGGCTATATATTAACAAAACTTTTATAAAAATGTATAACTTTGTACTAAATAACAATTTATCTAATCTGAATCGTTATCCGAATTGCAGTTATAACAAACATAATACGATAAGTTATCCTTTATGCATTTAGAATGTGCGCACATGTTCACAAAATTATCCTTTTAACTATTCTTAATATCATCACATTATTATTACTACTTCTATTAGACTTAAAAGTAATTTTACAAAAAGAAAGAAGGATGTATGAACATATATGGACATATTTCGTATATAATTATATATGTTTATGAATATTTATAAATGTTTATGTATAAATGTTTATAAACATATATAATTTATTATATTATGTATATTTATACATATTTATACATATTCATGCATGAAAGATTTCTTATACATGTAATTTAACTATTATTGTATATCTTTATTAATAAAATTCATTAAAACTACAAAAATTATTGCATTATAGGTGTATTTAAAATAAAAAAGAATACTCTCTAAATTCTTTTGAGTGAAATCTCAAAGAGAGAAAATATAGCTATTTATGGAACAGAGTGACATCGCCCTGGTAAAAAAAGTTAAGAATGATAGAGAACGATTGAGAACGATAGGATTTCTATCAATTTGTATCGTTTTCTAAAAGTCGCGAGCATCACGATTGACCGAATATGAATCCTATAGTGTTTTATCGGATTTTATAAGATTTGTACAAGATTCCTATAAGATCCGATTCAAATTAGTGAATTTACGAACCAAATTTCATATTCGAAACGATAGGATTTTTCTATCGTTCTCTATTAACGTTTTTATCAGGGCGGGCGAATGACAGATTTCTTAACTAAACCAACTTTAACAATTAATATTTCGATTCGTAAGGTAGAATAATGCTTCTTTTTGCTAAATTCGTTCATTTCTTGCAAAAACACGTCGAATGAGCCTAATTTTATCGAGAAAAAAAATTATTACCAATTTAAGACTATTTTTTTTAAACTAACGCAGTCATTGTTTCCCATGTAAACAACAATATAGTTTTTTTAAAGAATTTGATAAAAAAATTTCAACAATATATTTTATATTTTAATATTAATGTTATAATAGTTATTTAAAAGAGGCACAATATGATTATTTTGATAATAACAGTGTTTTCTTTTCATTTAAAAGATTTATATATGAAGAAAATATAAAATAGTTATATATGTATATATATATTTACTCTATTTTTATACATATCAAACGTTAACTTCTTTTAAGATGAACGTTTTTATTGAACGACATAAAGTTATTTGAAATGTATTATAGTGTTAGAACAAAAAACTATTTTTATTTTAACTACATAACTTTTTTGACAATGCTGGAAGATTAGTAAACATTAATCTTTTTGTAATACATAGTAAAATTTTTTTTATCAAATTCTACATGATTATATACATTACAGCTCTTTTAAGGCCCCAAAAGCTACTCTAAAAAAGCTTGGAAATCTCCAGGAAACTTGCCAACTTTGTTTGCATACACCTCCTTAAGCCGCCGGCATACGATGCTTATTTTCTTGCTGGAGTGCTAGATTAAATTCTTGCCATTCATTTTTTAAGAAACATTGTCAGTTGCGACTGCACTGTTAGTACTGCAGTCAATACGGTGGCAAGATTCTAATCCTGCTAAGAATCCAGCAGAAGAACAAGCATCTTGTGCCGCTGGTTTTATAGGATTTCTGGGCGTTTTTTCTTAGTAAGCGCGTCCATCTCGTGGCTAGGCCATAAGATGAACGAGCTTATTTTTGGTAAGATAATTTAATAATACAAACAATTTATTTTAAGGTACAGTTAAACAAAAATGATTTAATTTTAATTTAGAGAAATTCTGATTTTCGATTTGAAGATTATTTTTTCTGATATTTTTTTTCGTCTCAAAAATTATTATTGAAAGAGAATATATTTTTCTTAATTAAGGTTTAATTATATAAAGTTTCTTTATGTAAATAAGTGTTATATTGGTTTAACGCTATACAACCTTATTTCAAGATTTTGAAAATAAAGATAGTTTAAAAATAAAGATATTCTAAAATAAAAATATTCTTTTTTTATTAAACGTTTTAACAAAATTGGCTCGTAGCTCTTCTATTTTACCATTGTGATTTTATTCTTTTTTTCTATATCATCAAAATCAAACTTTTCATGAATGATTAGCGTTAGCTAGGATACACTATTAAAAGGTTTTTCTATCTTTTAAATTTTTGATTTTCTACTTACGGAAGGATTCCCAACATCTCTTCCGACTTCATATGGTTTTGCTTCAACAAGCTGTTAAAAACGACACAATGATCTAAATTATTTTTATTAAAAAAATTGAAACTATTGAGAAGTATCAAATTGTAATGTGTACTTACTGTTCTTCCAAAAACGCTTCCGACAGCGGTCAAAAGTATTAACATATACAACGCCCGCATTGTCGCAGTCAATCGCAACACGATTTATATTTAGTGCGCGAAAATATAATTCTCTGCAAAATGATATTCTTCTACTTCGAGTATAAAACCAACTCATAAGAAAATTTCTGAAAAATATTTGGCGTTTGAAATACTAAGCATTTCCTTTTAAAGGAACGTCGTCGTATCTTATCATTTAAAAATTGAGAAAATTAGAAGAGGGGAACACGGTTGTTTTTGAACATTCTTAAAAGCAGTCATTTTCGTTATCAAGAGTAAGTATTGCGCATATGTATTTATATCCGGGTAACATCTATGTTACATAAGATATCTAAAAGACGTCTTTTAGATGTCTTATGTCTAAAAGATGTTTTAAAAGACGTCTTTTAGATATCTTATGTAACATGAATGTTATCTGGGTATAAATATATATATATACGCAGTAGCGCTCGAAAAATATTTTTAAGTGACATTTCTATTAATATATCTGCGTACGTTAATCTGATGCAAACATTGGTGGCGTTGTTACAGAAATGAGTAGAATTGATTTGTGCTGCTGATATCGTATATTAAAAGATTAGTTCCTTATTTCTCAACAAATATCTATAGGAGAATCATATGTAGATAAGTATTTTGTGTTGTTAATAATTAGTACAAATAATAAGTATATAATAGTGTGTAAATAAAATGTTTATGTATGTAGGCATTTGTTTACTTAAGTTTAACAATACCAAAACGCAAAGTTTTAATAGAATATTGTGAAAGAATGTTTTAAACGCCGTATATTAAGGAAATCAAATCTGCAGTTGCAAAGCGTTTTAATTTGTCTCAGCAACTTGTAAGTGTCTGATGTAAAAAGAAGAGGTTAATTGAAAATGTAAACAACAAACCACGCAACGGTCGACCACATAAGACAACAGAAAGAATGGACAAAATTATTCGAATGAGATGTAGTGCTGATGTTGAAAATGTAACTTTAGTGACAGATAAGGCTCGCAGACACTTCTTTGACTAACTGCACACAAATATTACCATAGACTCTTTTAAAAAACGAGATTATAATAGTTTAAAAAATTACGATTATAATGGTTGTAAAAAGTAATAGGTCAATGGCCTATATATATTCTGAAAATATATTTACCTGCATAAACTTGCATATAAATTTAACATTGAAAAGTAAACATAATTTCATCTTGTTTTCGTTCAACGAAGATGCAGCTCTTGATTTACTATCGTATATTCCACACTATTTCATTAACATATACACGTAGTTTTAATATTTTATCCAAATTATGCAGATATTTATAATTTTGGGTGGACCCTGGTAAGGCACCCCAAATTTTCGGCACTTTACTAAAGAACCATCTTAAATCTCTTACATTCGTTTCATAGTTATTTTAATATTTTTTATAGTATTTGCTTTATCCTTTTAATCATTAAAATATTTTGAATTCACCGCGCGAGCATATTATAGATATTTGTCAATAAATAAAGAACTAATGCTTTAATGTACGATTTCAGTAGCGCAAATCAGTTGTTACTTTTTGTTACTCTATGTGTTCTTACATGTACGATCGAATGAGATTTAATATTTAATATTGTTTATTTATATCGCCTAAAATAGATGTTGTTCCTACATATGCCAATTATTGCGAAGAATATTACTAAGGTCTCGGTAATCTAAAGGCTTAGGACGCTCGCACAGAATGCAAGAGATCCGGGTTCGACTCCCGGCCGAGGCATTATTTTTCACAAAATAAGTTCATTACAGTTTTTAAGTTGGGAAATTTGGGGGGATTATTAATATTTCAGATTTGATTGCGTTGAAAGTCCGACAACCATATCGGCACGCAATTATAATTTCTGAAATTAATTCACTTAAATGAATTTAGAATAGTTCAACATCTTAACGTTCAGACCGTTAGTAGCGCTTTTTAGTTTAAAGTAATGTTACACATATATTCCGCAAAATTATAATTTTCTCAAAAATGTAAGGTTCGGAGATCCTTCGAAAATCTTAAATAAATTTTAAACAAAATTGTGTCATCAAAAATACATTTTATTTATTTTTTACTATAAAGAACTTTTTTTTATTTAATTGGATTCAATATAGATTCATTTAGAAAAACTGCATCTTTTATTCAGAATTTTGATGTATATACTGTTCAATTTTCAAAAATTGAACACTATACACGATGCACAGAAAAAGTTAATGTTATTTTTATATTGAAAGGCATAGAAATGTGCTTCATACAATTCCTATAAATGAATAAAGATGCATTCGGATTGTAAAGGATTTATTACAACATTCGCGAATGTGTACTTCTGAAAATCTGAATTCATTTCAATCTGTTCTTGTTTACTGCGCCGGATATCGTGAATGTCTTAATTATTAGTGATTTCATGTCCTCTTTCAGATCTTTGTTGCCGGTGATGTCAATTCCTACTTAAATTTCGTCACCTGCTTAATATTTCGGTTATTGATTGTGAATTTGCTTCATCTTGGTTCTTTGGAGATAGTGAGTAACTTTGTCTTTTGAGTAGAGACTCATATTAAACTGTTTAACAATGAGTTCGAATTTATACAACAGTTTTTGCAGATTATTCTCGTCCTCCGATATTAGATAGGATTATGTCGTTGGCGTCTACACTGAAAAAAAGATTGGCTGCTGCAGCAAATTAGATGGTAAAATATGGCATAGCATTTTTAATTGGCTGCAGCAGCCAATCTTTTTTTTCAGTGTACGGGGGAAAAAAAAATTTAGAGAATAATATTTAAAGAATTATGTGCTCTCTAAATCTGAATCAGTGATAATCATTGATATCAGGCCTAGGTATCCTATTAGTTATCAGTGAATGATATGTGGAATCCTTAATCCAACTAATCTTGCTTTAATGTATGAATTCAATGTATATGGTATTGGATACATTTAAATTTTAGACGATAGATGGAAGATTGGAACTGATATGCAAATAACGGTATTTTAATTGTATAATACTAAAACTTTCTTTTCTCCTTTAGTTAAATTGCACTAATTATCCAGTGCTAAGTACACCACTGGGTAATCAATAATTATTCATTTCAGATTTAGAAAGTGAATTTTTATATAAAATAATAGTCAAATTTTTAATTGTTTACATCTCATATTATTATATTTCTAATTTTGCATTAAAAAATCCTTTGGCACAAAATTCTCCCGGAGAACTATTGATGTGCAAAATTTAAAAAGATTCTGAATAATGATTAATCCACTTCACATGGAGCCTACATACATTAATGTGCTTTTTTATTAAATATTTGTTTATGATAATTTTCTATTGTTTACAAACAATTTATGGAATATATGAAATAATTTCAAGGCGAAATCTGATTTCTCAACATTTTTTATTTATTACAAATACGAAATACAATATATTCATAATTAATCTTACAATTTAAAGTATAGGTATAAAAAGAGATACAATGTATTCAAGTTATATGTATGATAGTATTTAATAATAATGATAATAAGCATAATTTTATAGATACTGTATTTCAATAGTGTCTTTTCGACGTCAATAATAGAAATTATCCTTTCTGTAAAAAAATTAATTTATCTACATACAAAGTTCTAGAAAAATTATTAAAATATTGCTAAAGACCTTTGATAGGGCAACATTTAACGTTCAGAGGTCATATTTAAAACTTACATAATGCGCATTTCATCTTTCCTTTTACAAGTATTGCGAACATAAACCTAGCGAATCCAGTATATCCAGTAAACCTGGTATACCTAGCGCATTTACTATAAGGCATAAATATTCCTGCAACATTCAAAAAAATTTCTGTAATTACATCAAAGTGATAATAATTAATGATTTTTATTCAATTCTATTGATACCATAAATGTAGGTGATTTGAGTGCAGATAACTTGGGACAGCATGTATTTTTGTTAAATGCCTGCATTTGCGGTACGTATTCTATCACAGTCAGTATCGCTCGTACACAGGAAGAAGTCTTTTTAGCGTTGTTTTTAAATTATTTTCAAAATTCTTTTTCTTGAATTTGATTAACTTTTTAACGTTAGTTTTCTAATTGCTATCTCAATAAGGACCAATTAAATCTAAAAATGACTCACTGTGTTTGATACTGACTGGCCAACATATTAGAAATCGATTTTTGAATTACTAATAGTATTATTTGCGATATGGTGCCTTATGACCATGTGTGAGCTTCCTAACTTTCGGGATAATCAATTATAAAAAATTTCAAAATGTTTTGATACATTAGTTTTTCATTTTCTCTATTTCGAGATTTCCAAAATTTCTTTTCTTTTTTCTTTATTTCATTATTATCTGGGTTTAATTCTGGCATTTATATTCTCGATACGGGGGAGCTCACCATGACAAGTTAATATTTGTTATATTTTACTATATATATGTGAGTTTATGTTAAATGTCTCTGAAGAAGGCTAAAAAATGGGCAGAAACATGTAAGCGCGTTTAGTAAAATAAAGAAGTTATGCTTTATAGTCGTATTATTTGCGCAACGTCTTCTGCGCTTGATTCCTATTGCCCATGTTCTTTCTTAGTTCTTTTGATTTATAAGGAGTCTTAGTTAGTTTGATTTGTTATACGAAATTTATCCATATACTTTTGCATTCTAATAATAATAAATATATATATATACAATAATCTTTTCATGTAATTTCTTACATAATCCTTACCAGAAGAGTGCTTATTAATCCTGAAAGATCATCAGAATCTGAAGAAGATAGTCCATTATTTGCTCCATCACGAGTCTAATTAAAAAAAAATAGAAAATTGAATAAAGAAGTTTATCAATGGACTGAATTAAAGTTCATTAGTAAAAATTGATTTGGTTGACAATTTCAAGTACAAAATTAATCAAGTTTGTTAAATAAATAATTTTAATAGTTTCTTAAATCTACTGTTTTATCTATATACTTTTCTTTCGTATTTTCCTCATAATATTAATGGTTTTAAATCTAAAATTAAGGTGTAGCGTAAACTGAGTTGGTTTAACTGACGCATCTGCTTGTAAGATAGACCATAAGCTAGCTTAATTTTTATATAATCTTAAGTTATAGTGTCAAACTGTCTTATCGGAGGTGACGATAAGCTTGTATTTATATATA